GAACCCTATAAGGAGGAGAAACTTATCTTTATTAAGAAAAAAATAAAATAATAAATAAAAAAAATATAAAAAAAATCCCTAACTCCTAAACCCATTATTATAAAGGTATCTAATATTAAGTATAAGTATAATATAGTTTATAGGGCTAGAAAGATAATTACTAAACCTAAGGATACTTAAAAAAATAATTCTTATAGCTATAATAAAGATAGTTATTATACTTCCTAGCTAGCTTATTAAAAATATATACTATAAATACTAAGCTTATACTTAGATTATAATAAATACTATACTTCTAGCTAGTAGGAGGTCTTATCCTAGCTCTAGTTATAAAAATAGTTTTATAGAGCTAGGTATAGACTTCTAGCTAACTAGATATACTAAAGCTATACTAATTAATAAAGTAGAGTAGGGTCTTAATAACTTATACTTACTTCTAGTCTAATAAAGATTATAATCCTATCTAGGGTAGGAGCCCTATAACTATTACTAGATTCCTCTATAAGTAGGGGAGGAACTAGATATCTAGAAGTAGCTCTATTATTAAGCTAGAAGCCTAGATAGTAATACTACTAATAGTAGGTATAGGGGTATCCTAGTTAGCCCTAGGAGTATTTATTAAAGATAGTAGTAGCCTAAAGATAGAGGCTCCCCTTATAATAGGGGCTGGCTATACTCTTATTAAATTAATAAAAAAGGGCCTATATATAACCCTATATAGGGGGAGGAAGGCCCCTATAGGAATAAGAGAAAGAGAGATAGGAGGAGCTATAGTAGTAGTAGTAATAGTAGTAGTAGGGGTAGTAGTAATAGGCCTAGTAGGGGTGGCAGTAACAGGCCTAGTAGTAGTAGTAGTAGTAGTAGGTATAGAAGGGAGGGGTATAGCAGGTAGTAATAGTAGTATAAAGATTATCTCCTCCTTCTTTTCTAAGAATTATTAATAAGAATATTATAGACTTATAAGCCTTTACTTACCTCTAAGAGGTTAGAGGGGATAGGTAAGAGTAAAGATATAAAAAAAAAGATATAAAAAGATATTTTTTTATAAAATATCTTATAATATATTAACTACCTCTTCCTAAATATTATAAATTACAGAAGGTCCCTTACTAAAACTTTTATAATAAAAACTAAGAAAAATATAAAAGATAGAGAGAAAAAAAGCTTATATACTCTATAAAAACTATTATTATCCTAAATCCTACTCTATAAAAATTTTATATAATAAGGCTATTAAGGGATTTATAAATATATTATAAGAATAAGTAATATAAATCTAAAATATACTATAAGAAGATTTTAATAGTAATAAAGATATTATAGTTAAAGAGGTCTATTTATAACTAAGTCTTTATAAGAAGATAAATAAATATAAGTTTATAAAAGAAAAGAATAATAAATCTTTTTTATTATTTATAATTTTCTTTTTATAAAAAAAGATTTTTATTAAATAAAGATTTTTACTAATACACCTTATTATAAATAAGGAATCTTAGATAGATCTTAGAGGCTAAGATCTTTTAAGAGAGAGGGTAGTTATAAGGATTATAAAGGTTTATTATATATTATATTAAAGCTATCTTTATAGAGGAACCTAATAATAAGAAGACTCTTTATAAGAGATTATATAAATAATTATATAATCTATAAAGATATAAATCCTGCCTATAACTACTAAACTTTAGAGTTCAGTAATAATCTCTTTAAATAAGGATACCTATATTTAAGTCTATTTATAATCATTCTTCTTTCACACTAGTTTCTAATTCTCATGGATCATAGATCCTTATACTTCTAAGATAATCTACTATATATTATTTAACTATACCTACTATAATAACCTACACTAGTAGATATAGATAGATAGGCTCCCCTATAATATAATAGTGGCCTTAGCAGAGGTAAGGAACACTACATGCATTATATAGTTTATATTAAATACTAGCTATCTAATATATCTAGTAGATACTACTTAGCTAGGCTGGCTTATGCTAGGTACCCCTGGTAATACCTAACTTATGGCACCTATAGATAATAGCTAACTTTATATTTTTACTATACTCTCTTATATTTTATATTCCCAGTAGCAAATACTAGTAAATATAGCCCTAGCTAGTAGACATCTATAGCACTAGGCACTAACTAATAATTATATAATATTAGTACACCCTCTGACCCTCATAGCTTAGGAATCTATGGATCTATCTAAAATAGGTAGTAATAGTATAGGGGATAGAGGCAGTATCTAGATAAGTATAGAAATACAGGGGATATGTAGGTAATAGGGGAACCATAATAGAGAGGGAATACTACTAACTAGTAGTAGTATTACTAGTAGTAGTAGCTGCAGTAGTTAAAAGACAGTAGGATATATATATATATCTAGGTGTCTGATCCTCTAACCTTATATATATATATATTCTTGCAGTAGTACAGTCTAAATAGGATGGCTATATATGACACTACAGTTAGTACTATCTATTAGGAGCCTCTGTTGTGGCCCAGCTCAGTGCTAAAACAGAGTAAGGAATTAATTAATCAATCAACTAAGAGGAAACTTTAGATTAAGTATACTAATAATAATAATAATAAGTAACCTAGAGTATCTACTATCTTATATACTAGTAATATTAAAGATTTTATAATACAATTAATAGAATAATATATAGAGTAGTTAAAGTAATAGTTATAATATTCCTAGGATTCTTTTATATTTTATAATCTTCCTAAAAATCCCTCTAAGGGATATTAGCCTAATAATATAAAATATCTTATTAGTAACCTTATACTTAATATAAATACAATTATTAATAGTAATTAGATTAATAATAACTTCTCTTTTAGGAAACTAGTAATAGTAATACAATATAAGATTATTAGATCTTCCTACACCTTTACACAACCTATATCATTGGGCTTACCAACTATATTAATTAGTATTTAAAAAGATATAAAAAAAATAACTTATATTAAGCCTTCTCTAGTACCTCCTCTTAGTAAGAGATAACTAAAAAAAATATAATAATAAATACGAATTAATAATAGCACACCTCTAATTGAAGAATAAGGATAATAATAATACTTAATAATAAAGTAAAAATAATATAAAGAGAAAATAGTAACAATAAAGATAATATGAAAGAGTAAAGAGATAGTAATATAAATAAAAAATACAGAAGTAGGAGAGGATTAATAAAAATTAAACTTAAAATAAAAAAATTATAATTAATTATCTTGGATAAAGATTATACATTAAATCTCTTATAATAAAATAAGTTCTTTATTTATAAATATTAAAATAAAATAAAAAATTTATAATTAATTATTATTTAATAAATCTATATGAAGAGGCCTGTGACTATATGCTAATAATAGACATTTATTTAAAATAGAAACTATAAGATTATTCTATAATATATTATAGCTTATATAATCTAAACTTACTATATATAGTATTAGACTATATAGAGAAGGATATAATTCTAATAGTAGTTTAAATCTAAATAACTACTAGACTAAAATTAAAAGATTCTTTTAGGTAGGGGTAAATAGTATTTAACCTATCTAAATATAAAGTATATATTTCTACCTATATATAAAATACATTCTATATCTAGATTAATATATTTATATTCCTCTTTCCACCCCTTAATTAGATAGATAGATAGTATTAAATATTATAAGCAGTAGTAAGGAACTAAAGGGAAGGGAGATACGCAGGCAACCAACCCCCTAACATTAACCACTAACTTCAACTGCTACTCTACCATGGTGTATTGCATATTTATGAATTACATTCACAAAACTACCAGTGGGATCATATCTGCAACAAGAAGAAATTGGCTATTAATACTAGTTTAGAGGGCAGTTAAATATAGATTTAGTATTATCCCAATCAAAATCAAATACTAGCAGTGTTTCTATGTTGGCCAGAGGGTTCCTACACTGGTGCCAAGCCAGGACACTACTAGTTATGCCACTGGTGAGCTGCTGCTGGACTGGAACAGGTAATAGACACCCCTTCTCAAATTTATTGCCATTCACATACTGCAACAGACCAAAATACAACCTTGATGGGAAAACGCAAACTAAGCCAGATAAGGTACCTAGTACCTACTACTAGTACAGAGTAGTTGGAATTAAATATCATCCAACCCTTCATGTCTCTAAGCTCTGAGAGAGATTACAGATCAACTCATTCTATCAAATACGAAGCAATGTGTGATCAGGCAGGCATAACTCCTAGAAAAGCCCGGAGATTCCTACCAGATATTATTGAAACCACATCTTACAGCTCAAGGATTAACGCACAAGAGCCTTCTACACCCCGCTCCGATGAGGTCAAAAGTCCCGAAATTGCCAAGCCAGAAAGCTCCTCAAATGCAGATGCATGCTCTGATTATATTGCTAGTAAAAAAGGCCCAGGGGACAGGCTGAATTCCCTATTTCCACCGGAATATTCTAAAATCCAGGACATCGGGGATGACTCCAATTGCAGTGTGCCTTCCCACGGTCCCAGAGAAAAACAGAATAGGAGAAAGTTCCATCCCCAGGTAGTGGAAACAAATGCCTCAAGGAGAAGACCAGCGAATTCTGCTGCGACCCCAGTCATCAACAATGTTATGCATCAAAACCAATCCTCCCGCAGAAAGTTTATCCCCCAGCTTGTGGAAACTGACAAACGCTCATTTCGCCGCTTGAACCCATCGCCCCCCCGATGTATTGTCCTGAACCCAGGCCTCAATAGTGGAAACCAACCCAATGTTGATAGTGCTAGTCACTCACGGTCAAATATTGATCATATTTTAAATGAGTCAAAATTCTCTTACACCACCCTTCGACAACGGCAAGAGAAGAGAAAGCATTCTTTTCGCATTCCAGACCTCCCTGCCATCCCTTCAAGTTGCAGCGATGTTTCAGATGGGTCGGAAATACCGTCGTCACTTTCAGTCTCGCCATCTGCGTCCTCATATGAGGCCGATAAACGTGCGAAGGCTGGTATGAACGATCAGGAGCACTGCAATAATAGTCTCACTGGTTATATATTCTCCCTTGCAAATCGATCCGTGGAAAGTAAGCTGAAGGAACAGGCACTGGCAGCATTCCCCAACGAACAAGTTCATGAGCCTGTCGACCACTTTGCCATTGATAAGGAAGAAGATGAAGGCTTGGGCGAGGCAGTAGGAATTTCACATACAATTAGACGTGAATCGTCGGCCGATCTTCCATGGGAGCTTGAACACTTGCGCCGGCACAAGGAGGATGCTGAGATGAGGGACCGGGCCATGGTAGGCATGAAGGGAACATGGGGTTCAACTGCACGTTTCAACCCCCGGCAAATATCTGAAGGAATTGACCACGCTGTCGTGCACACCGGGTACTGGAGAGGATATCAAGAGTCAAAGCACTCGAAATATCTCGCGCGTCCTCGTATGTTAGGCGACGACCTCATTTTCCCGCAAAGCCTTTCTCCCAAGTCGACTATCTGTGAAAGCGGCTCAATACTTGAAATCAGCTGTGGCATGCATCAACTCCAGGACAAGTCGGGTCTCTGGTGTACAAAGGACACCCTTGAGCATGACTGTATCACCAATGGTCTCTGGATGGGAACGTGTTGGGTTAACAGGAGCACTCAAGAATCCCATTGCCACATGTCTTCCAGGACAACGAATCCTACCAAGGCGTTAACTAATGTCCGCTCAGGAGGACGGAACGGGGCCGAATTTAGATCTAGACTCTCGGAGAACAGCATGGATTCTCAGGGCATTAGACACCCCAACCATATTGATGGCAATTGCTGTTTTGAGCCTCACGACACCTTTGTGACGCAGATCTACAATTACCTATCTTTAGGTTATCCATGTGTTGCCCGTTACTATGATCAGGAGCTCAGCAGAGTGTCAGGCATTTCTGTAGAGGAGCTCAGGCGGGATGATGACCGTAAACATCCCAGGGGGTATGTCGACATCATTGAGAGTCATCTAACTGGCAAATTGGCTATTGCTCATGCCTGCGCTCGCTGGGTTGCGCTGCGTTTATATATTCTTGATTGGGCAAGGATACAGCCTGACGTGACAGACATTGACAATGATCACGATGCCTGGGGCGTGCGTGAGAGAAGAGGAAGCTGGGCAATTTGACTCTATTTTCATAACCAAAAGATATGTTGGATGTGCTCAATCTGCCTTTCTCTATGGCCGCTAGGTGCAAACCATTGTACGAGCATATACTAGCACCATCTCTCCGTGTCTTGACATCATCTACTTCTCGCATGTTGAGACGCGGCCGAGAGAACATATTCCAATGTCGTCGCGAAACGAGCAATACGAGAAGGTCTCTGAATACTATCAGCGCGGTAAGTAAGGGTTGGAAAATAGGGGAAAGTTGCACTTCTCTTCAAGTCGGCAGCATTTCCGGGTATATGGTCCTCTACATGGGCATCCGGGATCCGATTCTCATCAAACGTCATTGCCCGTGAGTTAATATGCAATTTTTCTGATCTCCGAGTATCCTGGTTATCGTAGGATATCCAGGGCGCGCAGATGTTCAAACTACAAGTTATCTTTTATTCGGTTAACAATGGCTGGAAGAAGTTGGGCTACGATTCAGGAATGTCCATGTCACTGTGTGGTGGAGGGTTCATCCACCAGCTAGCCAGTGGATGTCTCGTAAACCATCCGTGATCAATTATTAATAGCTCCAATACAAATAGCATCGAGCTAGTGCAGCTTTGCAGTTGCAGGAGGTATTCTGAAGGGCTTTGGCAATACATGATAAAAAATGGCAATGTTCGCGGTTTAGAAAATATCTAGCAAGATCACTTATCATGAATTAATGTACCATTGCCACGTTGAAATCTCCCATGCACAACACCTGGGAAAATATTCTGCTCCTGAAGTCCTCCTGAAGAGTCTGCAGAGTCATCTTTAGAATCAGTGGTGCTTAGAGAGTCGCTGGGCTCATCAGAAGAAGCTCCATCCAAAATGTGTGATTTCCGTAAGACAACAATGCCACTGTTATCTGCCTCGGACTGCAAGCGGACAGATTCAGAAGAGGGACACACTGCACACAAGTGTTACAAGTAAGCACACACTGATCATACATTCCCTGCAAAAATGCATCAAACTAAACACTGTCAGTGAACAAAAAGGGGCATGGGAAAGTTGCAAGGGACTGAAACAGCATGAGTAATTGAGGTGTGATTAGAGGCCATGAAGTGAGTGAAAGTATATTCCTCCAACGGCTTGTGTTACTATGACTTACCAGTATGTAGATGACTTTTTTGGTTTGAAATTGAGGCTGACGAGGACACGGGCTCCAGCTGAGCAGTCGAGGCCAGTGAAATAGGATAAGCTGCTGAACTATCATTAGAGAGGCCCACATGATAGCCAATTCTAGGGAATGTTAACCAAGTATTTTCTTTTAATCAGATTCACAAGAAGAAAAAGAAAAGAGCCAACCCACAGTGCGCGCTCTTCAAGCCATGTCTCATGCCTGTATTTTTCACGAATATCTGGCACATTACTTTTTGCAACATTGTTCCCTGCAACACCAGGAAGACAACAATTTGCCCCTAGCCATCTTTTTTTCAGTGAGAGCTCAAAGCCGCTCTGTTCAACAGAATGTTTGGCGAGTTCACACATGTCCACTGCATTGAATTTGTATATTTGGGCTGCAACTGAATATTCCTCAATCAGTGGTTCCTTCGTGAATGCAAACTGTAGAGGATCATCTGTTGAGAGCGACACATTCAGACCACGTCTGAAAAAGCTTGCAAATGGATTCTTATCGTATGTCAGAAACAATGCATTGTTACTGAGTGGTGACATTGCGATTCCAATTTGATCCAGATAGAACAAATACTGCAGCAATGGAACCTTTCGAAGCAATATCCCATGGCTAATGCTGTGACAACATAAAAAGCCAGCCGCAAGATGATCCGGATCCCCTGCCTCGCCGCAATGAGGCCTCAGGTCAAATGTGTTGAAACGACGTTTCTTGCGCCAGAAATTCAGCGACGCGATATTGGCGTACATAAAGTATATCCAATAGCTATAGGGCGGATTTTGTTTCGTGTTCCATTCTCTCGGAATGGGGTATTTCTTGTATAGTCGGCGCTCGGCTTTACTCTCGTCATCCACGCTGTCGAAACCTACCACTCGCTGCAGGAAGACATGAAGTTTGGGATGACTATTGGGGTTTTGTGTCACCTCAAACAAGGGCCGGAAAACGTTCACAATCACCTGTTCGAAATTCTCCATCATGCCACTCGACTTGTACACATCATAAAGTCGAGGGACCTGAATCAACCAACGGACATTAGGTGAGAACAGTTTGTTGTCTACGACCCAAGCAGCGAGTTTGTCCCATTCGTGGATAGATCTTCCGTATATTGAGATACGCCACTCTACCATTTGGTATTTGCTGGACTCCAAGTCTGATATCACCTCTTTGGTGATTTCTGCCAGGTATCGACCCTTGATATAGTTATCTGTCTTCAGGAAGATCTCGCGGAGCCGAGATTCTCCCACCGGATTGTACTTGAGGTTGAACTTGTCAAAGCGATGGAATGAGTCCGTGTGGGCCTGCAAAAACTCAGTAAACAAGGTGGCGAAGAAAATACCTGGTGCTGATACATACATGCATATCAAGAGTATCAATGCTCAAGTCGTACGCGGTTAAGTTGATGCTTTCAAAAACCTCCCGGAGCGTCAAATGCTTGCCATCTCTGTATAAAACAACCTCGTCGGGCGATTTTTTCATCTTGCTTTTGATGAATCTGAGCAAATGTTTTTGATTCATGCAAGCCGAATGGTGAACATGGGTGTCGACTTTCCGGACATTATAGAAGTCCCTGTGAGGTGCCTTTTTGCTATCGGCTATTTCTTGATACTCGTTGAGTAGAGTATATAGTTGGAACTTGCCCTCTAAGTATGATAGTCTTTTGAATGCGAAACTCTTCGCAGGACCATCTGTAGATACGTCAATTACTGCGTCGAGGTCCATGTAGAAGTCTCGCAATGAAGGAATCTTCATGGTCGGTTCACGCTGATTTTCAGCTTCGTGTGTCTCGTATACTTGATAAACGCTATTCTTGTCCAGTCCAAAAGTCCAATTCGACTCCCCGGGGAGTGGAATGAGGTCAGCCATGTCGAAATCTTCACCGATGTCCTGTCCCATTTTCCTTCTTCTATGCCCGGCATCGGGAAGAAAATTTTGTCTCCCGGAGTCTTTATCGGCATCCCAGGCTGGCTCTGGAGGTGGAGGATATATCTTCCAATCAGTGTCATCTTTCGGATTATCCTCAGACCGCTGTGATGACAATTGGAGATATTCTGAACGTCGATCAAGTAATCTCCTAATTTTGCGATATATGACATTCAGCTCTGCGGCAATAGTACCGCTACCCGTTGTATTCGTAGTCGTTCCGACAACATTGGGGTCATCTTTGGGAGATCGGATGTGACATGCTTCTTGTGAACCTGATTCAACAAATCCAGGGCCAGTTACCCCCCTTCGAAGCGACTGGCCGACGACGCTGTGACTTGCGTTTTCGAACTGGTAACTTGTGGACATGTAATCTTGTTGAGTAAAGTTACTTGAGCTGCTGGCACCTATCCGCGTATTCTCGTGCCTGTTGACTGGCGAAGGTGGGGCCTGCGAATCACTTTCCTCGATATGGACAGGAAGCTTGTTTGCGTTTGCCGAGCTCGAGTCCTGATCCCACTCATCGTCGGTTCCTCGCGAGATAAATTGGTGATTCTGATAGAAGAGTCTTGCTTCTGCGTGACTCATCGATTTTTCGTACGCATAATCATAGGTGGGTGTCTTTTCCTCCCTATCTCGTGGAAGGATATCACTTGATGTCCTTGTTACAGCACCAATTTGAGGTGCACCTAAATCTGCTTCATGAAGCTCATCATGATGGGTCTCTGTCAACTCAGCACCAGTATCTTGGGTACAACCTGGTGGGTTGTGTGTCCTTTTGCCCATTTGATCTTCTTATATGAACGACACAGTTGATAGAAAGAGGTTCTTGGGGGGATAATATAGCGATCTATATGCCTTAGGTAGATAACCTTGTCAGTATTTCCTTTCTGGCATAATTTATCACTTTGAATGATGGCTCATTTTTGGCTCTGAATATTGAATGTGTATGGAATGCTTCACCGCAGTCTAAACTGGGGGTTTTATTCGGTTTTATTCCCCACTCGTCCCACTACAGAAGGCCAGCTCAATTTAACTAGGTTCTCCTCTCTGTTCTTGTCATGTGGACACCATAGGTGAATGATACATAAGATATTGAAGAATCGTTTGTAATTGGTTTACCGGTAAAGCCTATAGAATACTCTATTGATTTGTAGTTTTGTGTGTCTTTTCCTGTCTTCTCATTTATCTGAATCGATTGAATGTCTATGGCCCAGGTATGTCAGTATAACCTTGAATTCCTGGTCTTGAAAACCAAGAAAAGTTCCATCCAATCTAATCTTTCGCCAGTGGACTTTGTCAAGTGGTGAACCCCCTTTTAGGTACAAAATTAATCCAAATTATCTACTGGGGAAGAGAAATTTGTTAATTCGCTATACTTTATCGCGCCTATTATTTTAAACATTCTATTCTGCTTACCGGAGCCTGGAGGGTCTTACCTAGCCCACTCTGGGTAAGCTGTCAAGTGCGGCTATATACCAAGCTAGCTTAGCTTGGGCTCCTCCTGTCCTAATAGGGCATCTGAGGGCCTCAGAGAGGATGCCTAGGACCTCAGAAATCTTAAGCCCTCGGGCCAAAGCCTTGCAGATGAGTGCGCTACTAGCGAGCTGCCTAGCAACTGATGGTAATGTTAGTCTCCTGGCTTTGTGATCATTATTATATCATTACCATTGTCAATTCAATTCAATTCTTCATTAACGCATCTGTCAGCCTAACAGTTGAGTGGCAGCAGGCCCCTAGGGGTAGCTAGGCTATCTACTATTGGATACACTAAATCTTAGATTAGTATAAAGTCTATAAGTATCTCCTGATACATCTCTAAGCTAAGTACCTATATAAAGTCCCTATTATCTTCCCTATTAGGGTTGTTCTGCACATTATATTATAATAATTATAATATAATGGTTCTGCCAGCAGTTCTACACAGTAAATTTAGTAATATTACCTAACTACTTTAGTTAGCATCTGATATTTCTATTTTTGTCTTTGGTCATCTTAGCATAATACATATATTTATATTTATATATATCCCTATATAGATTTATAAGTATATAAATTTTAGTATTATAATATATAACTCTATATTTCTAAAATAGAAGATATAAATGTCACATCCACACTTGAGACATGAGATAGCAAGATAATAAGATAAGTAGATAGCTTCTTTACGTAGTAAAGATAAGAATAAAAAAATATCTATCTTCCTAATATTATCTATATCACTAATACTAAATTAGTAGCCTATCCTGGCTCTTAGGATAAGTTAATTAAATTTTAATTTAATTGATTTTCTATAAGAAATAAATTTTTCCCTCCTTATCTTACTACATAAAGTAGTTATTTTATTTACTTAGTCTATAGGATATCTATACTAACTTCTTAATAGTTAAGCTACTATTGTTAGCCTTATTAGTTTATTAGTTTCACTAAGATTTTATTAATTTTATTAATCTTATTATTATTTTAATATTAGTTTTAGCTTCTCTATTATATAGTTTTATTAAATCATCTAAATTATAGAGTCTTAAAGTATAATTTATCTTTATCTAGATCTTACTATCTATTTATTGAATCTCTATTTATCTATTTATTAAATTCGTTAGTATTATTTAATTGATATTAATAGAGCTATTAGCATAATAGCTCTTATCTTTTATTAAATCTAGATATATAATAGTATAGGATATTATTTAGGATATCTATACTAGAGTTTAATTTCTTATTCTAGAGTAGACACCAGTTGCTATACTAAATAACTAGATTTATTTATATCTACTACTAGTAGTATATAATATGTAAATAGGAAATAGAGTAGCTATAAGAGAACTAAGACTTTATTAATTGTTATGGTCCTACCACTGTATGTGGCAAGGAGTCATGTGACATAATAAGATATCCCTACAGCGGAAGCCATAGTAAAATGAATCATCTTTCAACCATCAACGAAATCCATCACCACCTTTCGTGGTTTTACGACTACCATCGTAACAGTTTCTATATCTAATATAGAATAACTAATAAGAGAGTTATATAAAGACTACTTAATAGATAGAAAGATATAATAATATCTAGATACATTTTAAATATTACTCTAAAAGTAAGGTAATTGAGTACTAAAAATTATAAATCTAAGTTAATTTTAGTATTACTATTATCTACATAGCTTGGGTATCTTAATCTATAAGTAATACTATTAGTAATTATATTATTATTCTAATATTGTTTATTATTACTATTTTCTAGTAGTAAGAATATAATATTAATAAATATAATATTGTTATTATCTTCTATATAACTATCTATATAAATTTTAAAGAGTTATTATAGTACTTATATTAATTTGCCTTATTTATCTAATGTATCTAAGAATCTAAGAATCTTTTATTAATTAGATCCTTAGGACTACCCTCTATAATAAATAGAAATAATATTATTTTTATATCTACTTAGGAGATATAGTTAAATAACCTAATTTAGTTAGTAGTTACATAATTAGTAAAAGTAGTACTAAGTTAGTAAGCTGTAAAGAATAATATATATAAGTTAGTAGCTTTAGTAAAGAGTCATAAGGAACTATATTCTTCTAGTTATATATATTCTTCTAGATATTTAAGATTAAGAAGTATAAAATATTAATAATATTATTATAAATACTAACCTAATTCAATTCAATTCAATTTAATTGTTCATTCGCGCATCTGTCAGCTGAACAGCCAAGTAGCAGCAGGTCCCCAAGGGTAGCCAGGCTAGCTACTATCATGTATTAGATATCATATATATACTGGGTATCTAGCTAGTAGGGAGATATATTAGCATCCCACCACAGGCTAAATTAATATAGAGCCTATAGTTATTTTCTTATACGTCCCGAGGCTAAGCACCTATATAGGGCCCCTAGTATCTTCCCTATCTTAGTTAAGAGTAAGCTCTATAATAATGTCTAGTAGCTATATAGGGTAGGGGCTACCACCCCCTACCTTAGCCTAGAATATATTTAGTAAGCCCTAGAACTAGCTCAGGAGCTATAAGTTACTTATAAATTAAGTAATATATTATATTAGACTAGACATATTAAGTATTGTAAGGGTTACAAAGGGTCCTTTATGTATATAGCAGTTACCTTCATAGAGGAGCCTGCCTAAGAGGAGGCTCCATTATAAGAGGTTATATAAGTAGTTATATAATACTTAAAGATTATAACTACTATCTATAACTACTATGTTTAGGAGTTTAATAATAATCTCTCTGAATAAGGATACCTATCTTATCTCTATTTATAAGCATTCTCCTTTCACACTAGTTCACTGACTCTCATGTATTAAGGATCCCTATAGGTAGATAGGTATAGTTAGTCTCATATAATTCAATTCAATTTAATTATTCATTCACGCATCTGTCAGCCTAACGGCCAAGTGGCAGCAGGTCCCTAAGGGTAGCTAGGCAAGCTACTAATTGTTACGATGGTAGTCATAAAACCATGAAAGGTGGTGATGGATTTAGTTGATGGTTTAAAGATGATTCCTTTTACTATGGCTTCTGCTCTAGGGATATCTTATTATGTTATATAACTAACTCCTTACTATATATAGTAGTAGGACTATAATATTATCCCCATCATGTAAAAGGTGGAGCCTAACTATAATTTAATAAAAAAAAAGAAAGAAAAAAAAGGAAATACCTTAGTCTAGTAGAATAATAGTAAAATAGAATATAGTTATTTTAAATAGTAGAGAATAGGGAATGATATATAGTAATTTAGTAATAAAATAAAATATAGTTATTTTAGAGATAGGGTCTAGGATATTAACTACTAAACTTATAGTAAATAATATTAAGATTCTTCTATAATATATAGAATAGTTTATATTTAGTAAGTAGTATATTAAGCTGCTTATATTTATCTATAAAGTAGTTAAAATATTAGGCTTTAAGATTAATAAATAATTATCTAATATATTAAGTAAAGAAGTATTTAATAATAAAATCTAGTATAGTTATAAGAAAGATATATAATACTATAATAAGTTTATTTTAATAATATTTAGTAAAGTCCTCTTCTAGTGCTTTAGTAAACTTAGTATTATAATTAAATATATCTATTTATCCTTATTTATTCTTAGATATAGTATTAATATTCTTCTTTAAAATTAGATGAAAGACTATATAGTACCTATTAAGTATTTAAGAAATATATTTAGTTATAATCTAACTTCTATAATATTTAATTACCTAAGTAATATACTATTTTAACCTAATATATAGAATATATATTATATATAAGTAGGGGTTAGTAGCTCTATAAATAATATTTATAGTTTATTATTATTATTAGTATTATTATTATTATTATTAGTTAGGGCCTCTTCCTCTTATCTAGTAATATAGATAGCTTTTTCTATCTTTAGTAGGACTATCTTAATTTTAGTATATTATATAAGAACCTAGAGCTTAGCTAGGAGGTTATAAACTCTATATTATAGTATAATCTAAATAGTATTATTAAGTCTACTTATATATTATAGGGATAGAGGCTCTAAATTATTCTATATTATCTTAAACTAATCTATAGTAGTAATATTAATATTAGTAATCTAATATATAAAAAAATTAAGATATTAGATATAAGTCTATTTAATTAGAGAGAGCTCCTAGTTATATCTATATATATAGTAATATACTGTCTCTAGGGTAAATATATCTAATTTATATTTTATATTCTTTATATATTCTTTAAGAAATTCTATGGCCCTGTTAAGGTTAAATAAGTATTAAATATAGGTAGGGTC